GTGAAAACTACCATTTTTACCTAGTTTCTGTGTAGCCCTTTGTGACCTAGTCTGTGTGCTATATATAGGCTATTGGGACTTTAGACCGTTCTTTCAAGGCGCACGACACCCCTCACAGGCCATACCAGAAAGACTTGATGTGGACATCCCTACGAAGTAACCTGGGCTTTACCTCAAACTCACCTTTACCTACTGGACTTAAAACTGTGAGAAGAAGCCACAGGCATAGAACTAGCAGAGATTGGACTTTGGTTCTAATCTCTTACCTTGAGGGTGTCAAATGAATGGTGGCCCAGAACTACCATATACTTACTATTTTAATGCTTTCCTTACTTCATTATGCCATGTATTCATCTGATAGGTGTGGCTCTGCTGCTGTGAATGAATATTATTGGAAGAATTGCCCTATCTCCAACTCTCACTGTTTGTGTAAACAGTGTCCAATCATTTTAAGTTTAATCTGTACAAATCAACAATTCATGTTTGCTGTTTATAGCTGGCTATAATCCTAAAATTTCCTTTTATCAATAGTGATTTAATGACACTATCAATGGATAGAGCTTATGAGTTGGGTTTCTGACTGCAAGGTCTGCAGTTTGAAACCACAGCCAGCTCCACAGGAGAGGAATGGGACTTTCTGGTCCTGTGGAGATTTGCAGGCTCAGAGACCCACAGGGGTGGTTCTACCCTGCCCTGTGGGGTTGCTATGGGTCTGCAATGTCTTGACGGCAGTGAAAGTGATGTCCCAGGGGGAAGATTGATAATGTCGTCTAACAAAAAGGGACAATGATGTTGCTAAGGTGAACCGGAGACTTGTATAAACCATAGATCCCTTACTGGATTTGAAGCTTGCACTTAATTCTAGTCCCAATCTTAGAACAATGAGTACTTATGACATGGACCAGCTTAATGCTCAAACTCATGAAGAAATAGCACTGAATATATGGGTGCTATAGTAAAGTATGGTGAAGAAATTAGATTGTGCCTGGCTATCAGGAAGAATAGTGACTTGGGTCTTAATGGCTTGTTTTCTTTCTTTCTTTTAAAAACATTTTCAATAAATTATTTTATTGGGGGCTTTTATAACACTTATAACAATCCACACAGCCGTTGTGTCAAACACATTTGTACATATGTCACCATCATCCTTTTCAAAGCATTTTCTTTCTACTTGAGCCCTTGGTATCAGCTTTTTTTTCCCTCCCTCCCCCACCTTCCCACCCTCATGAACCCTTGACAAATTATAAATTATTATTATTTTCATATCTTACACCATAAAATGCTTG